AGAGCAGGGTGGAGACTTGGACTAACACTGAGAAGGCTTGTGAGAAGGAACTGTCCCTTCCACAAAAGAAGGGAGATTTGAAAAGCGGGGAGGGGGATATGGCCAGACAGGTCCTACCCCTTAACAAGATCCAGCAAGCAGAATCCCCCCAGGAGAGTTTCACAGTTAACACATCAGACGGAGCTCCATCTGGGAAGAGTGGGCTCTGCAAAGGAAAAGAAGTCTACCATTGGGAAGGCAGAGCTAATCCCACTGGCATAAGAGGAAACCAGGTGAATAATAAACCGCAGCCTGGCTGAGAAGACTGAGGCAGCCCAGCAGTGCCTCCACAGGCAGACAACAGACAGACTGTCTCAAGTGGCACACTGACACCTGCATTAAAAAAAAAAGAGCTTCATATGAGAGAAATAACCCCAACATTAACAGAAAGAACTTCCACTCAGAGATCTCACCTGAAATTACCAACTTCAAAGATCAGAGACAGATAAATCCACAAAGAGGGGAAGAAACCAGCACAAAAAGGATGAAAACATCAAAGTCCAGAATGCCTCTCCTCCTCAGAGAGATCACAACACCTCACCAGCAAGGGCACAAAACAGGTCAGAGAATGATTTTGACGAGCTGACAGAAGCAGGCTTTAGAAGATGGGTAATAACAAACTGCTATGAGCTCAAAGAACATGTTCTAATCCAATGGAAAAAAACTAAGAACCTTGAAAAAAGATTAGAGGAAATGTTAATTAGAATAACCAGCCTAGAGAACAACATAAATGACTTGATGAAACTGAAAAACTCAGCACGAGAACTTTGTGAAGCATACACAAGTTTCAATAGCTGAATTGATCAAACAGAAGAAAGGATATCAGAGATTGAAGATCAACTCAATGAAATCAAAAAAAAAAGGCAAGGAAAGAGAAAAAAAAGTGAAAAGAAATGAACAAAGCCTCCAAACAATACGGGATTATGTGAAAAGACCTAATCAATGCTTGATCAGTGTACCTAAAGAGGACAGAGAAAATGAATTCAAGCTGGAAATGCTCTTTAGGATATTATCCAGGAGAACTTCCCCAACATAGCAAAGCAGGCCTACATTCAAATACATGAAATACAAAGAAAACCACAGAGATATTCATCAGGAAGAGCAACCCCAAGGAACATAATTGTCAAATTCACAGGTTGAAATGAATGAATAAATGCTAGGGGCAGCCAGAGAGAAAGGTCAGGTCACCCACAAAAGAAAGCCCAGCAGACTCACAGTCGATCTCTCGGCAGAAACCTATAAGCCAGAAGAGAGTGGGGGCCAATATTCAACATCCTTAAAGAAAAGAACTTTCAACCCAGAATTTCATATCTAGCCAAACTAAGCTTCATAAGTGAAGAAGAAATAAAATCCTTTATGGACAAACAATTACTGAGAGATTTCATCACCACCAGGCCTGCCTTACAAGAGCTTCTGAAGGAAGCACTAAACATGGGAAAAAAATCCAGTACCAGTCACTGCAAAAATTAACCAAATGGTAAAGACCAAAGATGCAATGAGGAAACTGCATTGACAAATGGGCAAAACAAACAACCAGTAACAAAATGGCAGGATCAAATTCACACATAACAATATTAACCTTAAATGTAAATGACCTAAATGCCCCAATCAAAAGACACAGACTGGCAAACTGGGTAAAAAGTCAAGACCAATCACTATGCTGTATTCAGGAGACCCATCTCACATTCAAGGACACACAGAGACTCAAAATGAAGGGATAGAAGAAGATCTACCCAGCAAATGGAGCGCAAAAAAAGCAGGGGTTGCAATCCTAGTCTCTGATAAAACAAACTTTAAACCAACAAAGATCAAAAGAGACAAAGAATGGCATTACATAATGGTGAAAAGGATCAATACAAGAAGACTTACTATTCTAAATATCTAAAAACCCAATACAGGAACACCCAGATACATAAAGCAAGTTCTTAATGACCTACAAAGAGACTTAGACTCCTGCACAATAATAGTGGGATACTTTAACACTCCACTGTCAATATTAGATCAACAAGACAGAAAATCAACAAGGATATCCAGGACTTGAATGCAGTACTAGAACAAGAGGACCTAATAGACCTCTACAGAGCTCTCCACCCCAAAGCCACAGAATATACATTCTTCTCAGCACCACATTGAACTTATTTTAAAATTGACCACGTGATTGGAAATAAATCAATCCTCAGCAAATGCAGAAGAATGGAAATAATAACAAACAGTCTCTTAGGCCACAGTGAAGTCAAATTAGATCTGAGGATTAAGAAACTAATTCAAAAACACACAACTTCATGGAAGCTGAACAACTGGCTCCTGAATGTTGACTGGATAAACAATGAAATGAAGGCAGAAATAAAGATGTTCTTTAAAACCAATGAGAATGAGGACACAATGTACCAGAATCTCTGGGTCACATTCAAAGCAGTGTCTAGGGAGAAATTTGTAACAATAAATGCCCGAATGAGAAGTGATGAAAGATCTAAAATTGACACCCTATCATCAAAATTGAAAGAGCTATAGGAGTAAAATCAAAAAAACTCAAAATCTAGCAGTAGACAAGAAATAACTGAGATTAGATCATAAATGAAAGAGTTAGAGACAGAAAACCCCTTCAAAAAATCAGTAAGTCCAGGCGCTGGTGTTTCAAAAAGATCAACAAAATAGACCACTAGCCAGATTAATAAAAAAGAAAAGAGAGAAGAATAAATAGATCAATAAAAAATGATAAAAGGGATATCACCACCAATTCCATAGCAATACAAACTACAATCAGAGATTACTACAAAGAACTCTATGCTCATGAACCACTACACCCAGAATAAATGGATAAATTCCTGGACACTTGCACCCTCCCAAGACCAAACCAGGAAGAAGTTGAAACCTTGAATAGACCAATAACAAGGGCTGAATTTGAGGCACCAATTAATAGCTACCAACCAAAAAGCTCCAGGTTCAGATGGGTTCACAGCCAAATTCTACCAGACATACAAAGAAGAGCTAGTACCATTCCTTCTGAAACCATTCCAAAGAATCAAAAAAAAGAGGGAATCCTTCCCAAATCATTTTATGAGACCAACATCATCCTCATACCAAAACCCAGCAGAGATTCAACAAAAAAAGAAAATTTCTGGCCAATCTCCATGATGAACATAGATGCAAAATGCTTCAATATAATACTGGCAAACCAGGACATCAGAAATTGCAACAGGACATCAGAAAGCTTATCCGTCATGATCAAGTAGGCTTCATCCCAGGGATGCAAGGCTGGTTCAGTGTACACATGTCTATAACCGTAATCCATCACATAAATAAAACCAAAGACAAAAACCACATGATTATCTCAATAGATGCAGAGATGGCTTTACACAAAATTCAAAGCCCTTTATGGAAAAAACTGAATAAACCTGGTATCAGTGGAATATATCACAAAATAATAAAAGCTATTAAAACAAACCCACTGCCAATATCATACTGAATATGCAAAAACTGAAAGTATTCCTTTGAAATCTGGCACTAGACAAGGATGTCCCCTCTCACCACTCTTATTCAAAATAATATTGGAAGTTTTAGCCAGAGCAATCAGGCAAGAAAAAGAAATAAAGGATATTCAATTAGGAAAGGGGGAAGTCAAATTGTCCCTATTTGCAGATGACATGATTATATATTTAAAAGACCCCATTGTCTCAACCCAAAATCTCCTTAAGCTGATAAGCAACTTCAGCAAAGTCTCAGGATACAAACTCAATGTGCAAAAATTGCAATCAGTCCTATATGGCAATAACAGACAGAGAGCCAAATCAAGAGTGGACTCCCATTCACAACTGCTACAAGGAGAATAAAATACCTAGGAATACAACTAACAAAGGACATAAAGGACCTCTTCAAGGAGAACTACAAACCACTGCTCATGGAAATAAAAGAAGACACAAATGGATGGAAAAACATTCCATGCTCATGGTTAGGAAGAATAAATATCATGAAAATGGCCATACTTCCCAAAATAATTTACAGACTCAATGCCATCCCTATCAAACTATGAATGACCTTCTTTGCAGACTGGAAAAAACCATTTTAAACTTCATATGGAACCAAAAAAGAGCTCACATAGCAAAGACACTCCTAAGCAAAAAGAACAAAGCTGGAGGTATTATGTTGCTGGACTTCAAACTATACTACAAGGCTACAGTAATCAAAATAGCATGGTACTGGTACCAAAACAGAGACAGACCAATGGAACAGAACAGAGGCCTCAGAAGCAACACCACACACCTACAACCATCTCATCTTTGACAAACCAGACAAAAACCAGCAATGGGGAAAGGAGTCCCTGTTTAACAAATGGTGTTTGAAAAGCCGGCTAGCAACGTGCAGAAAGCAGAAACTGGACCCCTTCCTGTCACCTTGCACTCAAATTAACTCCAGATGGATTAAGGATTTAAGCATAAGACCTAACACCATAAAAACTCTCAAAGAAAACCTATGCAAAACCAACCAGGACATAAGCATAGGAAAGGACTTCATGAGTAAAACACCAAAAGCATTGGCAATGAAAGCCAAAATAGACAAATGGGATCTAATTAAACTTAAGCGCTTCTGTACAGCAAAAGAAACAATCATTAGAGTGAACTGGCAACTAACAGAATGGGAAAAAATTTTTGCAACCTACCCATCTGACAAAGGGCCAATATCCAGAATCTACAAATAACTAAAACAGATTTACAAGAATAAAATCAAACCCATCCAAAAGTGGGCAAAGAATATGAACAGACACTTCTCAAAAGAAGACATATATGAGGCCAGCAAACATTTGAAAAAATGCTCATCATCACTGGTCATTAGAGAAATGCAAATCAAAACTACATTAAGATCTCATCTCACACTAGTTAGAATTGCAAGTCATTAAAAAATCTGGAAGTGACCTCACCCTTCAACATGGCGGCGGCAGTAGATTAGGGCCGCAGGTTGGAGCAGCCGCTGCCGCTGGGAGACCCTGTCAGAAGCAACCGCCACTGCCGCCTCTTTCACCTCTTCTGGGGCAGGGGCCAGGGCCAGGTTTTATACATCCATATGTAGACCTTTTTGGAGTTCCACCAGCCAATTCAATGGCGTCCTCTTCTACTGTGCCTCTGGGATTTCACTATGAAACAAAGTATGTTGTTCTCAGCTACTTGGGACTCCTCTCTCAGAAGAAGCTGCAAGAGCATCTTTTCTCACCCCAAGGGATTCAACTAGATATAGCTTTATAGTCTCTGGATGAAGAAATTTTATTAAAAGTTAAAACTGAAATTGAAGAAGAGCTAAAATCTCTGGACAAAGAAATTTCTGAAGCCTTCACCAGCACGGGCTTTGACCATCACACTTCTCCAGTGTTCAGCCCTGCCAATCCAGAAAGCTCAATGGAAGACTGCCTAGCCCACCTTGAAGAAAAAGTGTCCCAGGAACTGAAAGAGCCTCTCCATAAAGCATTACACATGCTCCTGAGCAAGCCAGTGACATATCAGGCATTTCGGGAATGTACACTGAAGACCGCAGTTCATACCAGTGGCTGGAATAAGATTTTGGTGCCTCTGGTTTTGCTGCGACAAATGCTTTTGGAGTTGACAAGGCGTGGTCAAGAATCTTTGAGTGCACTGCTGAAGTTTGGCGTGACATATTTGGAAGACTATTCAACAGAGTACATCATTCAGCAAGGTGGCTGGGTATGAGCTGTTATACATTAAAAATATTTTCTTTAAAAAAAATCTGGAAACAACAGAGGCTGGAGAGGATGTGGGGAAACAGGAACAATTTTACACAGCTGGAGGGAGTGTAAATTAGTTCAGTCATTGTGGAAGACAGCATGGCAATTCCTTAAGGATCTAGAAATATAAAATCCATTTGACCCAGCAATCCTGTTACTGGGTATATACCCAAAGGATTATAAATTGTTCTACTATAAAGACAGACACACACATATGTTCATCATGGCACTGTTTACAATAGCAAAGACCTGGAACCAACCCAAATGCCCATCAATGATAGACTGGACAAAGAAAATGTGGCACATAAACACCATAAAATACTATGCAGCCATAAAAAACGATGCGTTCATGTCCTTTCTGGGGACTTGGATTAATCTGGAAACCATCATTCTCAGCAAACTAACACAAGAACAGAAAATCAAACACCACATGTTCTCACTCATAGTTGGGTGTTGAGCAATGAGAACATGTGGACACAGGAAGGGGAGCATCACACCTTGTGGGCAGTTGGTGGGAGCAAGGGGAGGGACAGTGAGGGGTGGGGAGGGTGAAGAGGGATAACATGGGGAGAAATGCCAAATATAGATGATGGGGAATGGAGGCAGCAAACCACCTTGTCATGTATGTACCTATGCAACAACCCTGCATGATATGCACATGTATCACAGAACATAAAGTAAAATAAAAAAAAGAAATGTAAAATAAAATAAGCCTAAATTTAGCCAGAAAAAAAGAATGTACAGAAATAAAAGTAATGGTATCTCTTTTATATGGTTTGGCTGTGTCCCCACCCAAATCTTACCTTGTATTGTAGTTCCTATAATCCTCGTGTGTCATAGGAGCGACCGGGCAGGAGGTAATTGATTCATTGGGGTGATTACTCCTATGCTTCTGTTCTTATGAAAGTGAGTTTTCATGAGATTTTATGGTTTTATAAGGGGCTTTTCCCCCTTTGCTTGGCACTTTCTCTCCTGTTGTCATGTGAGGAAGGATGTGCTGTTTCCCCTTCTGCCATGATTGTGAGTTTCCTGAGGCCTCTCCAGCCATGTGGAACTATGAGTCAATTAAATCTCTTTTCTTTATAAATTACCCAGTCATGGGCAGTTCTTTATAGCAGTGCAGGAATGGGCTGCTAAAGTAAACTAGTACTGCAGAGAGTGGAGTGTTGTTGTAAAGATGCCTGAAAATATGGAAGTGACATTGTAACTGGGTAACAGGCAGAGATTGAAATAGTTTGGAGGGCTCAGGAGAAGAAAGGAAGATGTGGGAAAGTTTGTAACTTTCTAGAGACTTGCAGGACTCAGAAGAAAAGAAGATAAGGGAAAGGTTGGGACTTCCTAGAGATTCACTGAGCGGCTTTGACCAAAATGTTGATAGTGATATCAGTAATGAAGTCCAGGATGAATGGTCTCAGATGGTGATATGGGTTGGCTCTGTCCCTGCCCAAATCTTATCTTGAATTATGACTCCCATAATTCCTATGTGTTGTGGGAGGGACCAAGTCAAAGATAATTGAATCATGGGGCTGGTTTCCCCCATACTGTTCTCATAATAGTAAATAAGTCTCATGAGATCTGATGGTTTTATAAGGAAAAGCTCCTTTCACTTGGCTCTCACTTCTTTCTTGTCTGCCACCATATAAGATGTGCCTTTTGCCTTCCACCATGATTGTGAGTCCTCCCCAGCCACATGGAACTGTGAATTCATTAAACTTCTTTTTATTTATAAATTACCCGGTCTCAGGTATGTATTTATCAGCAGCATGAAAATGGACTAATATAGATAGAGATGAAAAACTTGGGAACTGGAATAATGGTGATTTTTGCTTTGGTTTAGCAAACAGACTGATGACATTTTGCCTCTGCCCTAGAAATTTGTGGAACTTTCGAACTTGAGAGAGATAATTTAAGATATCTGGTGGAATAAATTTCTAAGTGGCAAAACATTCAAGAGTAATCAGAGCATAAGAGTTTAGAAAGTTTGCAGCCTGGTGATGTGATAGAAAAGAAAAACCTATTTTCTGGGGAGAAATTCAAACTGGCTATAGAAGTATGTATAAGTAATGAGAAGCCAAATGTTAATCACCAAGACAATGGGGAAAATGTCTTCAGTACATGTCAGAGACCTTCACAGCAGCCCTCTCATCACAGGTTCAGAGGCCTAGGAGGGAAATATGGTTTCATGTGCTGGGCCCAGGGCCCCCCTGGTCTGTGCAACCATGGGACATGGTGCCCTGAGTCTCAGCTGCTTCAGCTTCAGTCATAATTAAAAGGGGCCAAGGTACAGCTCAGGCTATTATTTCACAAGGTACAAACCCCAAGCCTTGGTGGGGCTTACATGAAGTGTTGAGCCTGGGGGTGCAAAAAAGTCAAGAATTGAAGTTTGGGAACCTCTGCCTAAATTTCAAAGAATATATGGAAACAGCTGGATGTCCAGGCTGAAGTTTGCTGTAGGTGTTGAGTCCTCATGAAGAACCTCTGCTAGGGCAGTGAGGAAGGTAGATACAGGATTGGAGTCCCCACACAGAGTCCCTGCTGGGGCACTGCCTAGTGGAGCTGTGAAAGGATGGCCACTGACCTTCAGACCCCAGAATGTAGATCTACCAACAGCTTGCACCATGCACCTGGAAAGGCTGCAGACACTCAATGCCAGGTTGTAAAAGCAGCCAGGAGGGTGGCTGCATCCTGCAAAGCCACAGAGGCAGAGCTGCCAAAGGCTGTGGGTGCCCACCTCTTGCATCAGCATGACCTGAATGTAATACATGGTGTCAAAGGACATCATTTTGAAACTTTAAGATTTGGTAACTGCCCTGTTGAATTTCACACTTGTGTAGGTCCTATAGCCCCTTCATTTTGGCCAATTTCTCCCTTTTAGAATGGGTGTGTTTTCTCAATGCTTGTATCCCCATTGTACCTGTGAGGTAACTAACTTGCTTTTGATTTTGCAGGCTCATAGATGGAAAGGACTTACATTGTCTCAGATACCTTAGACTTGGACTTTTGGGTTAATGCTGGAATGAGTTAAGACTTTGGGGGACTGTTAGAAAGGCATGACTGTGTTCTGAAATGTGAGGACATTATATTTGGGAGAAATCAGGGGTGGAATGACATATTTTGTCTGTGTCCCCACCCAAATCTCACTTTGAATTGTAGTTACTATCATCTCCATGTGTCATGGGAGGGACCCAGTAGGAGGTAATTGAATCATGGGGGCAGTTACCCCTATGAGGCTGTTCTTGTAGTAGTGAGTTCTCATAAGATCTGATGGTTTTATAAGGGACTTTTCCCCCTTTGCTCGGCACTTCTTTCTCCTGCTGCCATGTGAGGAAGAACATACTTGCTTCCCCTTCTGCCATGATTGTAAGTTTCTGGATGCTTTCTGAGTCACACAGAACTGCGAGTTAATTAAATCTCTTCCCTACATAAATTACCCAGTCCCTTGCAGTTCTTTATAGCAGCATGAGAACAGACTAATACACTGTTTGTAAATTAACTTTACCCTTTAAAACAAATACAATATTCCAGTCGGTTGCACCTGGGCCACAACTCTGTTTATTACTGGTATGCCTTTTCTCTCTATTTTAACATGTACTTTATGATAAACTTCAGTACCATGAGTAATTTGGATTCTAAGAGTCCTTAAACATTTTAAGCATTCTTATTTCCCTAGTACACAGGTAGCTAGTAAATGGCCACAGATATTTCCTAGGAGTAGAACTGGGGAAATAATTATCATTTATTCATGTCCTGGAATTGCAGTATTCTTTTCCTGTGGTCCTGCCCTCCACTCCAGCTGATAAGTTCAGGGTCTGAAATTAGCTCAGATCAAGGCTATGGATGTGATTTGTTATGAGGGCTACCTCTTAACCTCTTGTTAAACAGCACTGATTTCACTTGTTTTCTCTCAATTTCGTTTTACCCTATGGATGCCCCATCCTAGCAATCATCTTCAGAATTCTCTCTGGTCAGGCCTAGCTGTCTACCACTGTTTACTATAACTGAATCTACTTAGATTCTAATGATTAAGGGCCAACATCAGGCCTCTATGTGTCTGGGTCTATCAATCCCTATCAGAGTGTTGAGTTCTGGAAAGGCACATTGTCCTTTTTATCTGAGCCTACCACAAAGATACCACCATTGAATGTACAAGGATGGCACAATCCCTCTCATCAGTGCTTAATCTTAATGTTTGTTAATTTGTGCTTCTAACACCTTATAACTGTAATTCAGAGATAGGTAGTAGAAGCTACTCTTGTTGAGAGTTTAAAGATCACAGAAAAGTGCATGCATTTGTCTCAAAACAAATTTAAGGGACCGAAAAATAATGCCAAAATGAAAGAAAGCATAGGATGTAAATTTTATGCACTCTAGTACTCAGATCTTAGACTCCTCATTGAGCTGGATGATGTAATTCCTAGAATCAATGAGCAATTTCATTATCTGATAGCCAAATTCATATTCCTTTAATTATTATCACTATTGATATTTTACCTTACATTTTCTTTTTTATTTCTGAATAGATAAAATAAGCTTTCTTCACTTAGAATAATAGTCTCTAATCTCATCCAGGTCACTGCAAATGCTGGTAGTTCACTCCTTTTTATGACTGAGTAATATTCCATTGTATATATATACACCACAGTTTCTTTATCTACTCATTGATTGATTGATGGGCATTTGGGTTGGCTCCATGATTTTGCAATTGTGAATGGTGCTGCTTTAAACATCCGTGTGCAAGTATGTTTTTCAAATAATGACTTCTTTTCCTCTGGAATAGATATCCAGTAGTGGGAATGTTGGATTAAATGGTAGTTCTGCTTTTGGTTCTTTAAGGAATCTCCAAACAGTTTTCCATAGTGGCTGTAATAGTTTACATTTCCACCAGCAGTGTAGAAGTGTTCCCTGATCATGGTATCCACACCATCTACTGTTTTCGATTTTTTGATTATGGCCATTCTTGCAGGAGTAAGGTTTCAATTTGCATTTCCCTGATCTTTAGTGATGTTGAGCATCATTTCATATGATTGTTGGTTATTTGTATATCTTCTTTTGAGAACTGTCTATTCATATCCTTAGCCCAATTTTTGATAGGATTGTTATTTTAAGTGAAGTAACTCAGGAATAGAAAACCAAACATTGCATGTTCTCACTGATATGTGGGAGCTAAGCTATGAAGATGCAAAGGCATAAGAATGATATAATGGACTTTGGGGACTTGGGGGAAAGAGTGAGAGGAGGGCAATGGATAAAAGACTACAAATACGGTGCAGTGTATGCTGCTCAGATAATGGGTGTACCAATATCTCACAAATCTCCACTAAAGAACTTACTCATGCAACCAAATACCATCTGAACCCCAATAACTTATGGAAAAATAAAATAAAATGATACATGTATTTATTTTTTTAATTTTCTTATTTTACAAGATAATGTTGTACAGGTAAAATATTATTGAAAAATAAGCTTGCCTTACAAAATTCAAAAGCTGGAATACAATGATAAGTATGTGTCCCTTCAATCCCTAATTCCATCTGATTTGTCCCAAAAGGTGCCAATAATAGCAGATTTTCAGTAATCCTTCTAGAGATATTTTATGTGTATATTTGCATGTTTGCATATAATAATTGCATTTTACCTTAGTGATAAGATAATCCACACTGCTTTGCATCTTGTTTCCTTTTTCACTTTATAATGTAACTTCAAGACTATTCTGTAGTAGTCAAAATAGAACTCCACTGACAATTTTTATACTGGTTATATAATATCCCAGCATATGTACAAACAAATTTATATTTCCAATCTTACATGAAGGACATTCACATACTTTCCAATATTTTGCCATTAAAAGCAATGCCTTAGTGTACCCACTATTTGTAAATGGTTTTGCAAATTTATATTTCCTAAAAGTGAACATGGTTATTCAAAGTGTGCATGCATCCATTCTATCTCATGTGGGCCAGGCACTAATATCCTTCAGTAAGTACTTTTTATATTTAAAATATTGCTGAATGAAAATGGAAAACATATAGACCAAAAGTATGTCAAAGTATGTATCCACAATCTACAATATTTTATTTAGATTTATTTTTAAATAGTGAACCTACGCCTTTGACAACCAGATCAAATATTTTACCATCAGCAGGGACTACTGCAGAAATTATCGCACTGCCAAGGCTGTCCAAGGTTCGTGCAATCCAGGATCTATTATCAGTTTTTGCTGTATCAATCTTGTTTTTTAATTGATTTATCTCTGCATTCATCTCCTCAGATTTCTTCTTAAATCCTTCTTCAAGCAAATTCTTTTGGGTCTAAAAACACGTAAGGAGGAAAGTAAAATTTTTAAAATCCCTATTTTTTTAGGAATTGCATTTTGTATTTAAAAATTTTGTTGAACAGTCTTAATTTTACTCCTAAAAACTATTTCTCAACTATCAGAGGAGAATTTGGATCTAGACACTCTGAGGAAGCATAGTTTACAACTTTATTAATACTCATCTACTATTATGATTTTGTTATGGTCCTAACCCAAGTATGAGGGCAAATGCTATATATTCCTGCCCCAAAAATGCCATTTGAGAGGTAATCATTGGTCTGATCGCATAAATTCACAGTCTTACTTGGGTGGCATGGTCACCCATATCAAAAATAACAGGAATTTATAAGCCGATCTAAAATCTCTTATGAGAGAACTTTCAGATGGAAAATGCAAGAATTTCCCCTACACTGTGTGCTAACATGAGCAAGTTACCTATACAGGGAAACAACTGTAGCATGTTTAGAAATTGTTCCTTCCATGTCTATTTAAGTCTGGAAATTTCAGAGAGTTGTATATTAAAATGGATCTACCTCAGGGTGTTTGGGGGTAGTAGAGCTGATAATATGTGTTACTGATAAAGTAAACCAGTTTCTGCTCATATCGAATACACGAGTGGACTATCTGTTTAACAAGGCCTCCCGAGATTATTTTAAATATCTCCCAAAATGGTAACTTGAACTCTATTTATATTCTCCAAGGACTTGTAGGGGCCACAGTCAACCTGCATTCTTCAGGATCTAAGTATAGGGCAGAAATCAAAGCCATCTTAAAAAAAATTTAAAAGGATTCAGGGCTTTTAATAACTCCCAAGCAACAAATGGTGTTGTGCTTCTTTCCACAATGTTGCTGTAACCTTCACCAGCCCTTCCTGAGGTATCTGGGCAAGGACCGCCTGGCCTGCTGAGGCCATGGGCAGACTTACCTGCAACTTGTGCTCCAACATCATATTCTGCTCTTTCAGTATTTCTTCTCTTTCTTTCTCCAGCTTCTCTTTCAGCTGGGCTATATTTTCCTTAAGAGTCTTCTCTTGAGCCTCCATCTGTTGCTTCTGCTCCTGTAATTGCTGTTTTAAAAGCTCCTGTTCCTTCTCAGCTACCTCCTTCTTGGCCCGCTCCGCTACCCCATGAAGGTTTTAGAAAGAGAAGAAAATAATAGATGAAGACTCATCTCTACCCTTCTGAGCTTAGAGATCAAACAAACTTTGAAAATTGGGGGGACAGGAAATCACAGAATTCACTCAGGTTCACATTATTAAGAACACATTTCAGAATGTGATGGGAAAGGCCCTGCCTGGCTGGCTGATGTACAACCATAACCACAGCTACCCTGGAAGATTAAGCAGAGTGTGTGTTCCACAGAAGAAGAAACTCCTTATTTTGGGAAAATCTTCTTGCTGGATCTGTCGGAAAGCATTGCAGGAATCTATCCAACTTGCTATAAGCTGAGACCTGCCCCATACCTGCTACTGCCTTTTCCCGATCAGTAAGGGCTTTATCTGCCTGCAGGATGGATGTCTCTATTGCCGCCTGAGACTGCAAAAATATCTGGAAGACCTCTCTTGCCTGTGGAACAAAGAAAAAGTCGAAAACTTAGATTTCTTTAAAAGTCTATGTTCTTGAAAATCTAGGTTCTGAAGATTAGTGTTACATAAACAAGTATGTCCATATAATTTTTTCTTTATGTTTCAAATTCTACATTGGCTCCCTATAAAGTATGCAAGCTCCTTAGTGTGACCGGAGGCCCTCCTCATCTCCTGCTTCCTTCTCCCTCCAGTTCCTCTTCCAGTGCTACCTCCCTGTAGCTGTTCTTGGTTACAGCCACTCATAACTAGGCACAGTTCTACAATCCCACAATCTCTAATGCTTTTATATGCTTGCCTTCCAGTGTGAAATGCTGCTGATATGTGCTGTTGCTTTTTCCTGTTACTTGCTAACTGGAACTTTAGGCAAGTTATTTAATTGTCTTTGGGCACTAAGTTCCAGCCTATAAAATTTCCAAATTAAGGATGCTTCTTAAAGTCATTTGGAAGATTACATTAAAAGGTCTAAGAAAATCGTTTAACAGTATGCCTGAGGTTACAACAATTGAAAATAAGTTAATTGTATTATTGCTAATACTACGCTTCTTATCACCACCTATGCATCCCATTTTCACAGGTTCATAAGCATTATTGCTCTCTATGCAATTGTCTATTTCTTTCAACAGATGAATATAAGTTAATGGTATTATTACTCCTATTATGTTTGTTACAACCACCTGTGTATCGCATTTTCATAGGTCTATAAGTGTTATTACTGTGTATGCAATTGTCTATTTCACCTCTTATTTTGATCAGATTGGAGCACAAAGACTCTGATTTAACCTTGTAAATAGCCAGCCCTTTCCACACAAATAATTTTATTTCTAGCTCTCCTGGATTTCTAGGAATGTTATTCTTTCTTTGGGAATAAACATTTCTTTTTTAAAAAAAATATTTTTGTGGGAATAAATATTTCTATTCCAATAAATAATAAGGAGTGGACATCAAAAACTAAGATGTTATGCTATCCCACTGCTCTCTTATTATGGCTGGTGCTGAAGACTCCATTTACTCCATCCTATAAGCTTCCCCATGCTCTCCTTATTCCTCACCTTTACTCCTTTCCTGGGCACTTGCCAATAGTTCTGTTCAATCTTTTCCTTTTCGTCCGTATAGAGCTTGTGACCTCCAGGAACAGAGAAACTTCCTGCTGAAATACTTTCCATTAGGGCCTTTGAGAGCTCATTGAGTTTAGCCTGGCAGTACTGAACAGATGACTCTTCATTCTGCAGCAAGAAATCCTCCTTCTTACTCGCTATGCTTTTCTGCAAGGGAAATGTAGAGAGATGTCACCAGGAAAAATAAAAAGAGGAAACAAAATTCTACAAAATCTTATAGAGATGGCAATCTAACTGAGGTCTACAGGAGAAAAACATTCTAGTGGAGTAGATGTGGACTGAATCAGAAACACAAAACTTGAAATATTTACCACCATGAAAACTCTCTGGAAGTTTATGGGTTTCTTCTCAGGTTTCTTATCTGTGACATGATGGGACTGAATTCTATAATCTCTGGTTTTTTACAGCTGTAGCATCTTGTGCTCCTTGTCATTAGTAGTACAATGATATAATAAGGAGAACTATAATTTGAACAATGCCCTAGAATGAGGGTCTGGTAAGATAAGTGTTGGTTCCTGGGAAAGGTAGACTGTGTTCAGAAAAAGTGCACCACTCAGGGGTGACTTGCGGGTGTTTAGGGCAGCTTTAGAATCCTTAGAAGTGTTCACTCAAGGAGGAACTTAGGAGTTTGTACTGATTTTACCTCAGTTATCAGAAAGTTTTTGGGATAAGTGCCCAAGTCTTGAGGAGATAAAAGAGGGATACATAGTCTTTTGAAACTCTATTCTTCATAAGAATCCAAAGTAAGTTATTTCTCAGTAAGAAATGAGGCTTAAGATCAATAAAGTCAACTATAAGCGACATTCTTCAAAGGGAAAGATCATGAACAGCAATGACTAAGACAGATTACCACAAGCATCTTCTGGAATTCCTGGTTTTCATCCTTGAAGGAGTGCTCCATGAAGATTGCAATGGCTTCCCTCTCACAGGCAGCGTGCACATCCAGCAGCTCCTGGAGTGTGTCTGTGGGGAACTTCACTTGCTGAGTCATCTGCTGCTTGTAGTAGTCAGCTGCCTTCTGCACAGCAGCTGAGTTCTCCCGCTGGGCCAGAGTTGTCACTGCGTTCTCCAAACAGGGCACTGCTCCACTGTTGATGGTGTCTACATAGGTCACCACCAAAGTCCCTAGCCCTGAATAAACCAGGAAATTCAGAGGATACTTATGGAGTTGAAGCTCAATGGGGTCCAGGACTCTGAGACAACATTTCTAAGCACACACACACACACACACACACACACACACGTGCACATGTCCCATCTCTTACCCCACACACATACACACACACTCCTACCTGCTTCTGCTATTATCACTTTCAGTTTCTTATTGGTTTTTCATTATTATAGTTCTTCAGACCACATTGCTAAAAAATTTAAATATCTACTTTCATCTAACGTACTAGAGGACATTGGAAATATAATTTCTCATTTAGAAATTACAAGGAAGATTTTTACACAGGTAAATGATAAGGCAGGGTAAATCTTATTATATTTATTCCTAAATCTGAAGCTACCAATGGATCTTCATGGACATATGGGCTAATATTTATTCCCAGACTTTTTTAAACTTCCAAAATATCTTTCATATTCTCTTTGCAAAGAATACTAAACACCTAGGACTTCCCCAAAGAAAAAAAGTATATATCTGTTTTATACCCAGTTAGTTATTTTATTATCAGTGGAGGAATATTTTAGATATGTGGAATCCACAGATATCAGTAACAAAATTTGCAATGTCAGAGAGGGGTTTGGAAATTGCAATGAGTCAGATAAAATATACACGTTTCTTCATGAAGTATGAATACCTGTATACACATAGTACTAGATAGAATCTAACAAAAATGCTGAAAGACACATTATGCAACATATTCAACACATTAGGCCCCACTAAAATGTAAAAAGGAGACTCACGATTCCCAGTGATTATGATTCCCTCTTTGAGGGTCTTGGTCCTTGCATGTGTGAAGACATAAGAACAGAAAATGTTTGTTTGCTCCTGGAATTTAGGATCCAGTTGCTTTTCTGACACCTTCTCGATATTGGCTAGAAGGTCTTTGTCATTTGTTGGCCGGTCAAAGACAAAACACTTCCGTCTTGGAAAGAAATGCCTGATGCATTCCCTGGGCAAATTGGACATTTGGACTCTGGGATTCCTACCTTAGGGATAAGAAAAACAGAGAATATAGTGAAAACAGTCTTGGTAGAAGAGACCTAAAGATGTTTTTGACAGAGTTTGTTGTATCTCTATAGTCATCTACATTTATAGAACTCCTTTAACATAAATGTTCAATACTTCTTTGCACATCAAACTCGTAACATTGCTATAACTTTGGTAAGACAATTCGGAAGACTTCAAATTATACTGCTTTGGTTACAAGGCTACAGTAAGCAAAACACCATGGTACTAGTACAAAAAATAGACACAGTGACCAACCGAACAGGTGAGAGAACCCAGAAATAAAGCCACATAATTACAACTATCTGATCTTTGACAAAGTCTACCACAAGCAAGCAATGAGGAAAGGAATCCCCTGTTAAGCAAATGGTTCTGGGATAAATGGCTAGCCATATGCAGAAAAGTTAAACTGGATCCCTATCTTATACCATATCCAAAGTTAAGTCAAGATATATTAAAGGCTTAAATGTACAACCTAAAACCATAGAAATCCTAAATACCATTTCAGAAATTCTGGACATAGGCCCTACAAAGGTTTTACAAGGAAAATGACCAAGAGGAATTGCAACAAAAACAAAAATTGACAAATGGAATGTAATTAAACTAAAGAGCATCTGCCCAGCAACAGAACTACCACAAAGTAAACAGACAAGCCACAGAATGGAAGATAATATTTGTAAAGCATGCATCTGTCAAAGATCTAATATCCAGAATTTATAAGGATCTTAAATGAATTAAGAAGCAAAAAATGAACAAGCTCATTAAAAAGTGGACAAAGGACATAAACAGACACTTTACCAAAGTAGACATACATGCACCCCACAAGCGTACAAAAAAAATGCTGAACATCACTAATGATTAGAAAAATGCAGATCAAAACCACAATGAGATGCCATCTCACACCAGTCTGAATAGCTATTCCTAAGAAGTTAAAAAAATAACAGTTGCTGGCAAGATTGCAGTGAAAAGGGAATACTTATACATCGCTGGTGAGAATGTAAATTATTTAAGCCACTGTGGAAAGCAAGTTGGCAATTTTTCAAAGAACTTAAAACAGAACTAACATTCGACCAAGCAATCCCATTATTGGGTGTATACACTAAAGAACAGAAATCATTCTACTGTAAAGACACATGCACATGTAGGTTCACAGCAGCACTATTCACAATAGGAAACACATGAAATCAACCTAAATGTCCATCAACGGTGGACTGGATGAAGGAAATTTGGTACATATACACCATGTAATACTACATAGCCATAAAAAATGAATGAAATCATGTCCTTCTCTTCAACATAGGTGAAGCTGGAGGCAATTCTTCTCAGAGAATTAATACAGAAACAGAAAACCAAACACAGCATGTTCTCACTTATAAAGTGTGAGCTAAACATTGAGTGTACATGGTCACAAAGAGAGGAAAGATAGACATTGGGGACAATGTGAGGGTGGAGGGTAGAAGAAGGGTAAGGATTGAAAAACTACCTATCAGGTTCATCAGGTTCTCTGCTCATTACTTGTATGATGAAATAATCTATACACCATACTCCACAACATGCAATTTACTCAGGTAATAACTTGTACATATAGTCTCTGAATATAAAATACAATTGGTAAGAAAAAAGAGAGAGAGAGAAGAGTCTGAGACCTAATCTCTCTCTCTCTCTCTCTGTCTCTCTGTCTCTCTCTCTCTCTGTCTGTCTCTCTCTCTCTCTCTCTCTCTCTCTCTCTCTCTCTCTCTCTCTCTCTCTCTCTCTCTCTGACTCCCTCTCTTGCCATGTGACATTCCTGGAACCCTTTCTCCTTCCACCATTTGTAAAAGCTTCCTGAGGTCCTGACCAGAAGCAGATGCTAGTGCCATGCTTGTACAGCCTGCAGAACTGTAAGCCAAATGAACATCTTTGCTTTAAAAACACCCAGTCTCAGGTATTCCTTTACAGCATTGTAAAACGAACTAACATACACATACATACATTTTTATCTGCAGGCATTTCATTGTAATTTCATGGCTAACAATCATCTAGTCAATTGTTTTCCTAAACACATAAAAGCAGAGGGCAAAATAAGGATCACAAGTATCTGCTCTTTAGAAAGTCTTAGCACCCACTGTGGACCATTTATAATTTGAATGCTAAAGAACAAATTATATAAAGAACACATTTGTCTTGAATAATCTCTCTCTACTTGAGGCTCTACTTTTCTTAACTAAACTCAGCTCTAGTCCCAAGAGCTTTTCAACATACCCCTCACTGCCAATTTTTACAGACCTCAATCTAAAACACAAAGGCAACCCTAGAGATGATTGACAAAGTTTAGCAGACCCCATACCCAACTGGACTACCCACAACCCAGATCATGCACTGATACCTTGAATCAGCTTTAAGGCATTCTCCAGGTACTGATCTGCTGTGATAGTGCAACCGTTCAACTTTAGCTCCAGGGTGAAATCCCGTACAGTCCAAATAAAGTCTGGAAAGAAACTCACAAACTCTGTGGAATCATCTGCTTCATCTGAACTTGGGGATGACTTCGACTTAATTAGTTCTGTGAGTTCTGTCACATAACTAGGACTTGGTTAAGGAAAAGAAACCCCCTGTCCACAATTGCCACATTTCCTTTATAAAAATGTTATAAACACTTTCTTTTCTTCTGTACCTCCTATACTGCACCAATGGTAACTAAATGAAAGGAAAGGAGGAAATGACTTGATCTTTATTCCCATAAAGTCAAACAAAACATAGTGGTTCATTTCCTGGAAGGATACTGCAGCTGCTCCAGGGCCTGGTGATTGATGGTGCTCATGCTATTATACACAAAAGTGCTACACAGGAGAACAGCCAGGGCAAAAATCCAGGAGTCATTCTTAGGGTCACCCTAAAAGCACATTAGAGTAAAGACTTAGGAGTGCAGTCTTTAGAAATTCACGGAGACATTTAGTTTATTAGTCTTTCTTTTATGATTTCAGCTAATGTTCATGCTGTACAAATAAGACAGACATAAATGCAAATAATAGCTTTGATAATTATAATATGTATTCTAATCACAATTTCTTTATATGTAAAAGGGTTCTAATCATTATAGGGTTTTCTTTTTCCTCAATGGCATGAAATTGTACGTACAGAAAAACTAGTATTGCATCTGTTTCTAACTTGGCTATTCACGATGGGTATCAGCACTTCTTCAGTCTGCACATATTTGTGGGCCATGAGCCATACAAAATATACCATAGTAGACATAGCTGGGATTCTAATTATATCTAACTAAATTCAACAAATATTTATAGGCACTGCAAATGTTTCCCACTGTTCCTATGTTTAGAAAAACAAATTTAATAATCACACTTGTTACTCTCAAGATGGCTGTTTCAAAGCAATGAAAAACATTCAAAACAATAAATTCAATAAAAATAACAATATTTATAAAAAGATTACATCTTAGTAATGTACATGAGTGGAATTTATGCTATCAAGGAAGATTAGTGCAATTAAAGTTGGAAAAAGTGTGTGTGACATGAAAGTTTCCTGGAAGTCACGAGCTGAGTATGAATTGGTAGAATGTGGATTTGAAGAAATGAAAGTGATCTGCATGTAGAACGACTCAGAGAAACAAAACTAGAAATTATAGACTGCAGGGGTCTTTGCAATAAGAATAGAGTTTGACTGAGCAAAGGATAAGTACTGAAGATTGGACAGTGAGCTCAGGTACATAGTTGATGAAGGGCACGGCAAGGTTAATTTGTTTATATAAATTTTATAGTGTTCTAAATTATAGAATAATCCAGAAGTTATTTCTACTCCGAACAGTGTATACAGCTGGTTCCTAGAGCAAATGTAAAAACTGAGATGTAGAAATTTTTACATGGTTCCAGAAGATTCTATGGGAGTCTAGAGGTAGAAAACACTATTCATTTCCTTATTTCTTCCAAACTCTAATTTTTAAAAAGTAATCAGCATTCTTCTTGGATGTGGAACTCGTGACAAACAATAAACTATTTAGACAGAAGTATATCACTGATATATGGCTTTACAGTAATTATAAAAATTGCAATGATATTTTATTTATTTATTTATAGAAATGGAGTTTCACTATGTTGCCCAAGTTGGTCTTGAACTTCTGGCCTCAAGTGATCTCCCTGCCTCAAACTCCCAAAGCACTAGGATTACAGGCATAAACCACCATGTCCAGGCCTCAGTGACATTCTTTAAGAAATATAAAAAACAATCCTAAAATTAACATGGAACCACAAAATATCCTGAACAATCAAAGCAGTCTTGAAAAAGGTATCACACTTCCTGATTTCAAAACATATTGCAAAGCTACAGTAACCAACATAGTATGGTACTTGGATAAAAACAGGTGTACAGACCAATGGAGAATCTAGAAATAAACTTCTGTATTAATAGTCAATTGATCTTTGATAAGGGTACCAAGGACACACAATGGGAAAAGAGTGTCTCTTCAACAAATGGTACTGGGAACACTGCATATCTACATGCATGCAAAAGAGTGAAATTTGATCCTATTGCACATCATATATAAAAACAACTGAAAATGGATTAGCAACTTAAATGTAAAACCAGAAACTGGATCCAGAAATCCCAATACTGTGTACCTATCCAAGGAAAATGAAATGAGGATGTTGAGACATCTACACTTCCATATTTATTGCAGTGTTACTCACAATAGCCAAGGCATGGAGTTAACTTAAGTTTCCATCTACACATGAATAAATTTTTTAAAATGTGGTATGTAAACATAACAAAATTATTTAGTCTTTAAAAAGAAGGAAAGCCTATCATTTGCAATAACTTGGATGAACTTGGAGGCCATTAAGCTAAGTGAAATAAGCCAGACCCTGAAAGACAAATACTACATGACCTCACTTATATGTGGAATCTGAAAAATTGAGCTCATAGTAGTAGAAAGTTGAATGGTGGTTGCGAGGGAATAGTGGGGAGAGGAAAGAGAAGGCTGGGAGATGCTGGTCAAATATACAAAATTTTAGTTAGATAGTAGTTGGGGAAAAGATATAAAACTACCAAGAAAATATAGAGAAAAAGCTTCTTGGCATTGGTTTGGGAAGTGATGTTTTTGATACGACACCAAAAGCACAGGGATGAAAAGCAAAATTAGGCAAGCAGGATTTCATCAAACTAAAAAGTTTTAGCAGAGCAAAGGAAATAATCAATATAGTGAAAATGCTACCTACAGAATGGGAGGAAAATATTTGTAAACAATAAATTTCATAAAGGGTTAATAGCAATAATATATAAAGAACTCATGCCAACTCAATAACAAAAAAAAAAAAAACCTCATTGAAAATGAGCAAAGACCTGAATATATATTTCTTAGCAAAAAACCTACAAATGAGAAGCAGGTATATAAAAAGATGCACAAATCATGAATCAGAGAGTAGAATAGTGTGATTACCAGTGCCTGGAGGTGGAGGAAATGCAGAGATGTTGGTTAAAGAGTACAAAAATTGAGTTATGCAAGGTAAGCTCTGGAGATCTACTGTACAGCAGGGTGACTATAGTTAGCAATATTATATTAATTGTGACCTTGAATTTTGCTAAGAGGATATATCTTCAGTGTTCTCACCCCCACCTCTAAAAAAAAGAGAATGGAAAAAACAAAAACCACACCAATGTGAGGTAATGGCTATATTATTGGCTTAATTGTGGTGATCATTTCACAATGTATACACATATTAAAACTGCATATATCAAGCTGCATACATTAAGTATATACAATTTTATTTGTCAATTTTACCTCATAAACCTGAAAAATAAACAGAATTTCTAACTCCTGTTTGGACACAAACAAAGACTAGAGTAATTTAGAAACTAGTTTCAAATAAGTTTCAAACTAAGACAAAAAATATATACATTGTTCATTTTATATATTAATAGGAAGCTAAATACCAAATATTCATCTTAAAATGTTTGCATCTCAAATGCATCCTTCACGTGGTAGCTCAGAAAGTAGATGAGATGCCCCTTCTTATCACCTGGGATTGGGTCAATACTTCTCCTCTTTCCTATCAAGGCACTCTTATAAGCAACTGCACATGGTGAAAGCTGTGATGTGCCGCCAGAATCACAGGTGTCAGCTCTTAATGGGAAAGCCATACAGGGGAGACTTCCAATGAATAATCAGCATAAGGGATGAAGGCCTGACACCCTTGTTCCAAAACAGGAAAACTCAAAGAAGCCATTCCAGCTACAGAGCTCCTTGTGGAATTGACAGAGGACAGGGATTGCATTGCAGTTCAAACTCCTCCATCTCGACAACTTGCTTCTTTCCCAGTCACACAACATTAAATCTGAGTGCATATATCTGGTCTCCTCTATGATACTGAGAGCCTTTACTTTCTTCCCCAATATCTATGCTACTCAGTCCAGCAGCCTGGAACTGAGCTGCTTAACAAGTTTTTATAAAATTGAATCAAATCATTCACCATGGTGCCAAGAAATAAAAGAATGTTTTAGCTAATATACTGAGGCAGAAATTAAAGAAAAAAAATAAAATCATACAAAGGAGAGAGATAGGCTCTCTGTGTTGGATTAGAGACAGTCAACTGGCTCAGGCTCTGGGAGGAACCTTGATAAAGTATCTCAGAAGCCAGAGCTCAAGAGAATGTGCCCTGAGAACTATCCCAACACCTTCATCACTGTCTGGAGGAAAACATAAATTTTCTTCCTAATCCTTGCCCTTGTAGTATGAGTAAACCTAAGAATTTATAGAAATTGGTTTCCCTTGTATTGCTTGCCTGTTTTGTATCTAAATAACACAGTGACGGCCATGAGAAATGTCCAAAAAGGATAGAGCTGCAAACATCAAAGAAGGAGGTTAATGCAGAGCCCTGCAGGACTGGTCTATACCAGCCTGGATTCGAGATAAAGCCACCGAGCCCACATACCAAGAGTCACGAGTAAGCCTGTTGCTGTATTGATTAACTGTTTTTTTTCTTGCTTCTGTAAACTGGCTTCTTTTTGCACCCTAAGACGCATAAAAAGCCCTCACTTTGTTTGTCCAGGGCTGAGTCCTTTGGATGTGAATCCACTGAGCTGGTGTATACCTTAAATAAATCTTCCTGTAACCTCATCCAGTTTCCTGATTTCCTGCAACAATACCATGACATCTAATCTTATAGAAAAGTCTGATTCAAACAGGCCAAAGTTTGCCTCACTCACTATAGTTGGATTTCTAGGTTTCACAAATAGATCACAGCAGTTAAACTACAAGGTTCAAGAAAAGTTTAGGAGAAAATCCAGAAAGAAAAGAATGTGTCTGTGACTATTTTTCTTACCTTTTCCACATCACCCAGACCCTCGGTATCCAGAAGGACCAGGGTGTGGTTTGGCTTGAAGGGGTGGGGCACACACCACATCCAGATGCCCTTGGTTTCAGACTGCACCGTGGAGCCCAGAGGAAAGCCTGCAGGGAAGAGGAGGAAGCTAAGCACAGAGACAGCAGAGCAGCTGAGCAGCCCTGAGGTCGCAGCATCAGACTGGTGGATTGTAACTATCCCAGTATACAAAATGGTACTTTCTGTATTTCCTCAAGAATGGCTCTTTCTGTGAGTCATATATTTCAAAAAGCAAGAGACATTAAATGGGATAATGATGCCAAGCAAGGACTCAAAATGGAGATGAAGAAGAATCCATGAATCAGACAAAATAGAGGTCACTGATAACAAGAACATCTTAAAAAGTGGTGAGGTTTGGATATAGTTTGGAAGCGGATCTGAGATGGCCGAATAGGAACAGCTCTGGAGTGCAGTTCTTAGCAAGAACAACACAAAGGGTGAGTGAACACTGCATTTCCAAATGAGTTATTACTGCCAACAGACCAGGAGATTCCTGGGCTGAAAACTGACATGAGTTTTCAGCACGGCTGTTTCAGCCATTGCAGCAGGTCTTCACACAAAAACTCACACAAATCTGGGTGGCCGTTTCAACTGGCACCTAGAACACCTGAGAGACAGAGCTGCCCATTCAACTGAAAAAAAAGGGGGCTAAATAGGGAGACAGGTGATCTGGCTTGGTAGGTCCCGCCCCCACAAAGACCAGTAATCTGAATCACTCTGGATTGAGAGTTTTGCAGCAAGTGCAGCTGGACCTGGAATGTTCCAGCTCTGTTGGGGGAAGGGCATCTGCCATTACTGAGGCAGTCGGCCACTACCAAGGCAGTCCACCATTACTGAGGCAGTTCTAACTATACCTCTATAAACAAAACTACAAGGAAGTTCACATAGCAGCTAGGCAGAGCCCACGACAGCTCAGTAACACCTCGGTGGGCACTCTTTGACTAGGCTACTTCCTTGTTAGTCAGGGTGGCTCTGAAAAAAGGCAGCAGCACGTCAGGTACTTATAAATAAAACCCCACCTTCCCAGAACAAAGCACCTGGGGGAAAAGGCGGTTATGAGTTCTGCTGCAGCAGACTTAAATGTACCTGCCCAGCAGCTCTGAACAGAACAATGGAGCTCACAGCTCAGCACTTGAGCTCTCATAAGGGACAGACTGACTCCTCAAGCAGCTCCCCAACCACTGTATATCCAAAGAGTCAACTCATAAAGGAGAGCTCAGGCTGACATCTGGTAGGTATCCTTCTGGGACGAACATAACAGAAAAAGAAACTGGTAGCAACCCCTATTGTTCTGCAGCTGCAGCAGGTGACCCCCAGGCAAGCAGGGTCTGGAGTGGACCTCCAGCAGTCCTACAGCAGAGAGGCCTGACAGCTAGAAGGAAAACTAAAAAAAAGAAAGAAAGAACTTCATCATCAACAACAAGGATGTCCACTCAGGGACCCCATCTGAAAGTCAAGAACTACAAAAACCACAGGTAGATAAATCCACAAAGATGGGAAGAAACCAGTGCAAAAGGGATGAAAACACTCAAAAGCAGAATGCCTCTCCTCCTCCAAGGGATCACAACTCATCACCAGCAATAGAAAATAGCTGGATGGAGAATGAGTCTGATGAATTGACATAAACAGGCTTCAGAAGGTGGGCAATAACAAACTTCTCTGAGCTAAAAAAAACATGTTCTACCCCAAGGCTAAGAAACTAAGACCCTTGAAAAGGTGTTTGATGAAATGCTAATGAGAATAAACAGCATAGAAAGGAATATAAATGAATTGATGTAGCTGAAAAACACAACATGAGAACTTTGCAAAGCACACACAAGTTTCAATAGCTGAATTGACCAAGCAGAAGAAAGGAGATCAGAGATTGAAGATGAACTCAATGAAATAAAATGAGAAGTCAAGATTAGAGAAAAAAGAGTGGAAAGAAATGAACAAAGCCCCCAAGAAATATGGGATTATGTGAAAAGACCTAATCTATATTTGATAGGTGTACCTGAATATGATGGAGAGAATGAATCCAGGCTGGAAAACACTCTTCAGGATATCAAGGAGAATTTCCCCAACCTAGCAAGGCAGGCCGATATTCAAGTCCAGGAAATACAGGGAATGCCATGTGATGGAGAGAATGAATCCAAGCTGAAAAACACTCTTCAGGACATTATCCAGGAGAAATTCCCCAAACTAGCAAGGCAGGCCAACATTCTACTCCAGGAAATACAGACAACCCCCAAAGATATTCCTCAAGAAGAGCAACCACAAGACCAAAATAATCAGATTCACCACGGTTCAAATGAAGGAAAAAGTGCTAAGGGCAGCCAGAGAGAAAGGTCGGGTTACCAACAAAGGGAAGCCATCATACTCACAGCGGATCTCTCAGCAGAAATCCTACAAGCCAGAAGAGAGTGAGGGTCAATAGTCAACATCCTTAAAGAAAAGAACTTTCAACATAGAATTTCATATCCAGCAAAACTGACCTTCATAAGCAATGAAGAAATAAAATCCTGTACAAACAAGCAATTGCTGAGAGATTTTGTCACCACCAGACCTATCGTACAAGAGCTCCTGAAAGAAGCACTAAACATGGAAAGGAACAACCAGTACCAGCCACTCCAAAAATGTACCAAATGATAAAAAGCACCAACACAATGGAGAAACTGTGTCAACAAATTGGCAAAACAACCAGCTAGAATCAAAATGGCAGAATCAAATTCACACATAAAAATAATAACCTTAAATGTAAATGGGCTAAATGTCCCAATCAACACAGACTGGCAAATTGGATAAAAAGTAAAAAACCCATCAGTGTGCTGTATCCAGGAAACCCATCTCATCTGCAAGGATATACATAGACTCAAAATAAAGGGATGGAGGAAGATTTACCAAACAAATGGAGAGCAAAAAAAAGCAGGAGTGGCAATCCTAGTCTCTGATAAAATAGACTTTAAACCAACAAAGATCAAAAGAGATGAAGAAAGGCACTACGTAATGGTAAAAGGATCAATGCAACAAGAAGAGCTAACGATCCGAAACATATATGCACCCAATACTGGAGCACCCAGATAGATAAAGCAAGTTCTTAATGACCTACAAAGAGACTTAGACTCCCACACAATAATAGTGGGAGACTTTAACACTCCATTGTCAGTATGAACAATGAGACAGAAAATTAGCAAGGATATCCAGGAGTTGAACTCAGACCTGGACCAAGCAACCTAATACACATGTACAGGACCATCCACCCCAAATTCACAGAATATACATTCTTCTCAGCACCACATCACACCTATTCTAAAATTGACCACATAATTGGAAGTGAATCACTCCTCAGCAAATGCAATAGAATGGAAATCATAACAAACAGTCTCTTAGACAACAGTGCAATCAAATTAGAACTTGGGATTGAGAAACAAACTCAGAACCACACAACTTCATGGAAACTGAACAACTGGCTCTTGAATGTTGACTGGATAAACAATGAAATGAAGGCAGAAATAAAGATGTTCTTCAAAACCAATGAGAACAAAGGCACAATGTACCAGAATCTCTGGGACACATTTAAAGCAGTCTCTAGAGGGAAATTTATAGTGATAAATTCCCATATGAGAAGCAAAGAAAGACCTAGAATCAACCCCCTATTGTCAAAATTGAAAGAGCTGGAGGAGCAAGATCAAAAAAACTCAAGAGCTAGCAGAAGACAAGAAATAACAAACATCAAAGCAGAACTGAAGGAGATACAGACACACAAAAAAAACCTTCAAAAAATCAGTAAATCCAGGAGCTGGTTTTTTGAAAAGATAAACAAAATAGACAGATCACTAGCCTGATTAATAAAAAAGAAAAGAGAGAATAACAAAATAGATGCAATAAAAAATGATAAAGGGGATCACCACTGATTCCACAGAAATGCAAACTGCCATCAGAGATGACTACAAATAACTCTATGCACATGAACCACTGGAAGAAATGGATAAATTCCTGGAAACTCACACCCTCCCATGCCTAAACCAGGAAGAAGTCGAAACACTGAATAACCAATAACAAGGGCTGAAGTTGAGGCACCAATTAATAGCCAACCAACTAAAAAAAGCCCAGGTCCAGATGGGTTCACAGCCGAATTCTACCAGACATACAAAGAGGAACTGGTACCAATCCTTCTGAAACTATTCCAAATATTCCAAAAAGATGGAATCCTCCCCAAATCATTTTATGAGACCAACATCATCCTGATACCAAAATCTGGCAGAGACTCAACAAAAAAGAAAACTTCAGGCCAATATTCAGGATAAACATAGATGCAAAAATCTTTAATAAAATACTGGCAAACTGATTGCAACAGCATATCAAAAAGTTTATCCATCATGATCAAGTAGCCTTCACCAGGGGATGCAAGGCTAGTTCAACATATGCAAGTCTATAAACATATTCCACCACATAAACAGAATCAAAGACAAAAACTACATCATTATCTCAATAGATGCAGATAAGGCCTTCAACAAAATTCAACAGCCCTTTATGCTAAAAACTCTCAATAAACTAGGTATCAACAGAATGTATCTCAAATTAATAAAAGCTATTTATGACAAACCCACAGCCAACGTCATACTGAATGGGCAAAACTGGAAGCATTCCCTTTGAAAAATGGCACTAGACAAGGATGTCCTCTCTCACCATTCCTATCAAATATAGTATTGGAAGTTCTAGCCAGAGCAATCAGGCAAGAAAAAGCAATAAAGGGTATTCAATTAAGAAAGGAGGAAATCAAATTGTCTTTATTTGCAGATGACATGATTGTATATTTAGAAGATCCCATCATCTCAGCCCAAAATCTCCTGAAACGGATAAGCAACTTCAGCAAAGTCTCAGGATACAAAATCAATGTACAAAAATCACAAGCATTCCTATACACCAATAAAAGACAAACAGAGAGCCAAATCAAGAATGAACTGTCATTCACAATTACTACAAAGAGAATAAAATACTAGGAATACAACCAACAAAGGATGTGAAGAACCTCTTCAAGGAGAACTACAAACCACTGCTCAAGGAAGTAAGAGAGGACACAAACAGATGGAAAAACATTCCATGCTCGTGGTTAGGAAGAATCAATATTGTGAAAATGGCCATACTGCACAAAGTAATTTATAGATTCAATGCTATCCCCATCAAGCTACCTATGACCCTCTTCACAGATCTGGAAAAAACCACCTTAAACTTCATGGGACCAAAAGAGAGCATGCATAGCCAAGATAATTCTAAGCCAAAGGAACAAAGCTGGAGACATCACATTACCTGACTTCAAACTATACTACAAGGTAACAGTAATCAAAACAGCATGGTACTGCTACCAAAACAGAGATATACACCAAGGGAACAGAACAGAGGCCTCAGAAGCAATGCCACACATCTACAGCATCTGATCTTTGACAAACCTGACAAAAACAAGCAATGGGGAATGGACTGCCTGTTTAACAAATGGTGTTGGGATAACTGGTTAACCATGTGCAGAAAGCTGAAGCTGGACCCTTTCCTCATACCTTACACTAAAACTAACTCCAGATAGATTAAAGACTTAAACATAAGGCCTAACACCATAAAAACGCTAGAAGAAAACCTAGGCAAAACCATTCAGGACATAGGCATAGGCAAGGACTTCATGACTAAAATATCAAAAGCAATGGCAACAAAAGGCAAAATAGACAAGTGGGATCTCATTAAACTCCAGAGATTCTGTACAGCAAAAGAAACAATCATTAGAGTGAACTGGCAGCCAATAGAACAAGAAAAAAAATTTGCAATCTATTCATCAGACAAAGGGCTAATATCAAGAATCTACAAAGAACTAAAACAGATTTACAAGAAAAAAAAGTGAACAAACCCATTCAAAAGTGGGAGAATGACATGAACAGACACTTTTCAAAAAAAGACATTTATGAGGCCAACAAACATATGAAAAAATGCTTATCATCACTGGTCAATAGAGAAATGCAAATGAAAACCACACTGAGATACCATCTCATGCCAGTTAGAATGATGATTAAAAAATCTGGAGACAACAGATGCTGGAGAGGATATGGAGAAATAGGAACACTTTTACACTGTTGGTGGGATTGTAAATTAGTTCAACCATTGTGGAAGACAGTGTGGCAATTCGTCAAGGACCTAGAAATAGAAATTCCATTTGACCCAGCAATCCCATTACTGGGTATATATCCAAAGGATAATAAATCATTCTATTATAAAGACACATGCACACATATGTTCACCCCAGCACTGTTTACAATAGCAAAGACCTGGAACCAACCCAAATCCCCATCGATGATAGACTGGACAAGAAAAATGTGGCACATATACACCATGGAATACTATGCAGCCATAAATAACAATGAGTTTATGTCCTTTGTAGAGACATAGATGAATCTGGAAACCATCATTCTCAGCAAACTGACACAAGAACAGAAAAACAAACACTACATATTCTCACTCATAGGCAGGCGTTGAACAACAAGAACTCATGGACACAGGGAGGGGAGCATCACACTCTGGGGGTCTGTTTGAGGAGGAATAGGGAATGGACAGCGGGGAGTAATAAGGTTGGGCAGGGATAACAGGGGGAGAAATGCCAGATATAGGTGAGGGGGGGATGGAGGCAGCAAACCACATTGCCATCTGTGTACCCATGCAACAATCCTGCATGTTTTGCACATGTACCTCAGAACCTAAAGTGCAATAAAAAAAAGTAATGGGGTTCAAAGTCAGAGAGGAGTGGGCTGAAGAAAGACATAAGAAAGGAAAAACTCAAAAAAGGAGATTGAGAGAATGCTTTTTGCACTGAAAAGTGATTAAAGACAAAAATTTAACACACACAAACACAAACACACAAAAAAACACATACATAAAAACAAAAAAAAAAAACAAAACAAAAAAAATTCAGGACTTGCTGGCCACAATGGGATATGAAATTCAGGAAGGGTTTTTAAGATGATACAGGTTCAAACATCTTTGTGTGTTGATGGGAATATTACATAAAGAAAGCAAAATATGTTATAAGAAAAAGGAGACACAATTACAGGATCCCAGGACTTGATTACATAAGACATGGTAGGATTCTGATTACTAGTGGAGAATATTTTCCTTAAAGGAAAGAATATGGGGACAGGCTACATACAGTAAGGTAGTGACCTGGTGGTGAGAATTAGAATGAGAAGTTTCGTTTATTGAAAGGAATTGGGTTTCCCCTTACATGCCTAGGTTAGAGCATTAAAATGCTGGAATCAAGCAACTGGCCTGTGTCCCAGGATACCACTCACCATTATTCTTTCCTGCCAAACGGTTCATCAAGTAGGATTTGCCTGTACGGTACAGTCCAACAATGGCCACCACCACCACTGGCTGAGAAATCTGGTCAAGAATCTGTATAGCTTGCTGGTTCACTGACAGCTGTTCATTGATGTTTTCCACCAGGCAAATGGGAGTCAACATGTTGGGTCCAGATTCCATGGCAACTGCCAACCTAGAAGAGCCTCCTAGGAGAAACAAGATTACATTCCCTGCTTCAGTTATCCAAGCACCCATAAATTTAGGACTGACGAGACTTTGGCGTTTCTATGAGACAACATGTAACCTAGCAATAGCGAACTAGAAAAGGCTTCCTCCATCATTCCCCCAAATCTGTAATCGTGTTAGTGATGAAGCATAGTATCTTATCATCTCCATAATTTTTCTCCAATAGTAAAAATAAAATTCAAGAAATTGTTATCATAATAGGGGGCCTACAATATTCTAAGACCTGTGATGCCTGCCTTAAATATCTGATCTCATTGACACTTACACGAACCTGCAAGTTAGAGATTATAGTACCCATATGTATATAAATGAGATAAATGAGTCTCACAAAGGCTGAGTGCATAAGTCATAGAACCAGGATTACAAATCTAGACAATTGAGCAAGGCAACTATGAAGTTCTAAGTCCTTCTTTTCTCTTAGGAGACATTAAAAAATGGAAAAACTGGCTAAAATTATCTTATAGAAGCTCTAGAAAATAGTCAAAGGTCTATAGCAACCAAGCAAATATCCAGTAGAAAAAAAAAAGGCACATTCAAATGGTAGGAGATTCCATAGTGTTGTGCTTCCCCTTTCCCTACTCATTTGCCTCAAAAACATGGTCTTGATCTGGAGGAGGTTGGCAGTCTACTTTCCACTTCCCTTCCCTGAATTGGAGGGAGTAGAACAGACTTTATTTATAACCTGATATTCTGACCAGGGGCTATCTTTTCTGATATATGTTCTGCCTAACTTGGATTTCTAGTATCAATAATTTCTCGTGTATGATACTGAAACCACAGAAGACTGAAAAAAATAGGTACACCACACTTAATCAAAATTAAAAACTTTTTTGCATCAAAGAGCATAGACAACATAGTAAAAAGGCAATCCACAGAATGGGAGAAAATATTTGCAAATCACATATCTGATAGACTACATAAAGAATTCCTACAACTCACAGTGACAAAATTTCAATTGAAAATGCACTGGGATGAACGTTTTTCCGAAGAGGACCTATAAATGGCCTTAATATGCACCTGAAAACATGTGCAACATCAGTTATCACTGGGGAAATGCAAATCAAAACTACAGTGATGTACTACTCCACACCCACTCATTAAGATAACTATTATTTTCAAAAAATAAATAAGGCAGAAAACAAGTATTAGCTGGGATGTGGAAACATTGGAACCTTTGTGTATCGCTAGTAGAAATATGAATGGTATTGCCACTGTGAATAAAAGTATGGTGGTTCCTAAAAAAAAATGAAACACAGAATTAACATCAAAATATTTCATTTTTGTGTATATACACCAAAAAAAATAAGCTGAAGGCAGGGACTCAAACAGATATCTGAACACCAATGTTTATGGAAGCATTATAATAGCCAAAAGATGAAAACAACCCTTATGTCCATCAAGAGATAGTATCAACAAAATGTAGTAAACACCTACAATGGAATATTATTCAATCATAAAAATGTCTGAAATTATGACACATGCTACAACATAGACCAATCTTGAAGACATTATGCCAAGTGAAATAAGCCAGACACAAAAGAACAAATGTTAAATGGTTCCACTTGTATGACATACTAGAATAGTCAAATACATTGAGATGGAAAGTAGAAGTGTAATTACTTACCATGGGCTGAGGGAAGAGGGAAGAAAGAATCATTGTTTAAAGGTAGAGAGATTCGGTTTACAATATTGAGTAGATTATGGAGATGGTTGCACACCAATGCAAACATACTAATATCACTGAAGTATACTCTTAAAATTGTTAAAATAATAAATTTCATTATGCATATTTCACCACAAAACAAAAATGTAAATAGGAAAGCCTTGATAAACTGACAATCAAAGACAGTGGTTTTCCTGTAAGTTTTTTGATCAGTAACCTGCAGTAGTAACTTTTTAATGATTATCATACACTATAACATGCTCTTATTTATCAATGGGACTTTATGTGCTCGTTTTTTTATCTACAGGTTTAGAAAAGTGATGGAAATTGGAGCGAGACAGGGAAGAAGCCACGTGGGATGAGAAACTTTTAGAGAACACAGGCTATCTTTTTCAAAAGGGAAGTAAAAGAATGTCTAGAATCTAAAGAATTAAAGTACAGGCTGAAGGACTTAGCCTAGAAGGGTCAGGTTCTCAGTGAGAGTTACTCCCACCAATGAGAATAAAAATAGAATTAGAATAACAATACATATAACACTGCATATTATATAGAGAGATGAATTAGAGATATATCAAGAGAGAGATTTATCTCTCTAGACTATATACAGATAAGTTAGAGAGATTTCCTTTTAAAAGATAATGTCACTGTCACTGTTGGGTGAATCAAGGTGAAAGGCATATGGGATTTTATTGTAATTTTTTTTAAGGTGAAGTTTAATTCCATAAATCTAGTATTGAAAGTATGATTGTTCTGTAGATCTCCTGGCACACTTTTTATTGCCATTAAATAAAATTGTTTTCTATGATTTTTTTTTTGTAATCAGAATATGTAAACATAATATTGTCTTCAAATGTCTCAAATACTCACTTTTGTATTTATATGTCAAATATTCAAGATGCATCTAAGGCCATCAAAAATACCAGTTCTATCATTTTTGTATTTATATGTCATACACTTTTGTATTTACATGTCAAATATTCAAGATGCCATCTAATACCATCTAATGCCAGTTCTATCATTCACTATGTATGTGGCCTTGACCAAGGAGTATCATCTAGCTGAGCTTGCTAATTAAAGGGGTCTGTGAGTTAAATTATACATCCAACCCAGAGGGTGTTTTGATAATAAAATGAGACATTACAAGCTTATGTCTTAACATGGTATGCAGCACAATATAGGATTTCAGGAAAAGTTGAATTAAATGGAGGTTAAGCTACATAATAACAATAACAATTGGTTTATTAGATTATACAGCTCAACAAAATATGCAAACTGTAAATTACCAAGAAACAAAAACTACAAATAAATTTTTCACCAGAGCAAAACTGTAAAGTTCAAGCACGCTGTTGCTGTACAACCCGCTCTTGTCTGATTCTTCACGGAGGGGAGTAAAGAAAACAGAGATCAAGCCCGAGGCCCTGACTTCTACAAGGAAATGCATTGTAATGTGATGTGTGATGTGTTCATCACGTTGTAGTGATTGCAACTGTACAGTCCCTTCTTTAAAGTGAACAATACAGGTAGCTATAGGAAGATGTGGCTATAAACGACTTTATATAAACCAGCTCTATGATTTCTTAGCTGTGAGGAAACCAGAGTAACTTTTAAATTCTACTAAATGAAATACAGCTGTTCAATTCTATTCAAGACTGTTTTTCAAACTCTGATGTACGTTAAGAATCACCTGAGGGGATTGTTCGAACCCAGATTCCCAGGCCTAAGTATCTATCTGTTTAGCAAGAGCTACCAGTGACTCTGATTTTCCAATGTTGAGCAAACAGTACGCGTGCGCGCGCGCGCGCACACACACACACACACACACACGAGTTTGGACTATGTAATTATTTTTAAGTAATAAAGACCAGCTATGTAGGGACTAAATTTTATTTCTACATAGAGAGTTATAGAGCTTACTCTGAACCTTTCCTAAGTGTGACCATTAAGTAGAAAAGAAACTCTCCCTTCAGATTATAATTGCCTGGAAGCTCCTTGTTTTCTGCATTTCGGGGCGGCCACAGGGCCTGATAGATATAGCCAGACAGACGCCCACCAGGGCTCTTTCCAGGCCATTCACTGCTGTCCTGAGTTGATGTTCAGGGAGCAGTACATCCAGGGAAATGCAGCGTGCCTGGATGCTTGAGTTGGACTAAGTTGCATGTAAACGAAAGCAAACATACCTGCTCTACAGCACCACAGGTCCAAGTTTTCAGTTTTCAGTTGCCTCTCACAATCTCCTTGCTCTCTTTCTTCCTTCTACTTTCTTTTGTGTCCTTCCTTTATAAAGGGAAAAAAGAGCTGAGGAAGTTAGTCATTTCCATAAATGGAATGGGGCAGTAAAACCGAAATTGAAAGTGAAAGCAATTCATGCAGCTGGTAGGAATTAGCAGAGGCCTGTCTGAATCATCTGACCAGAATTTGAAGAATGAATGTTGGGGGCAGGGGTGAGAAGCGGTCAGAAAAAGCCACAGAGGCTGCACACTCACACCTTTGCAACCACCGTCCTGCCAGCTTTCTTTTGTCCTCCTCATCCTGGAAGGCTCCATGGGCTTTCTTGATACCTCTCCCAGTTAGCTCTCGTTTCCTTGGCACACCAGAAAAGTAGAAAACCCACATTAGAAACGTAAGCAAAGCTTTAGGAACCAAGAATATTTTAAGCACTTTTCTCTTAGTGGGGATTCTTAGGTTCTTTTGTTAATGAATAGCTTTTGATATTTTAAATAACTTCACACACAAACACATACAGGTATACTTCAAAGATATTGCAGATTTGGTTGCAGACCACTGCAATAAAGTAAATGTTGCAATAAAGTAAGTCACACAAAGTTTTGGTTTCCCAGTACATGTAGAACTTACGCTTACACCATTCTGTAGTCTAAGTCTAGTAAGTGTGCAAGAGCATTATGTCTAAAAGTAAAATTACATGCCTTAATTTTAAAATATTTTATTGCTGAATAATACTAATGATCATCTGAGCCTTCGGCAAGTTGTAATCTTTGTGCTGGTGTAGAGTTTTGCCTCAACGTCAATGGCTGCTGACTGATCAGGTTGATAGTCACTGAAGGTTAGGGTGTCTGTTGGCAATTTCGTAGCATAAGATGACAGTGAAGTTTGATGCATTGATTGACTCTTCCTTTCACAAAAGATTCATCTGTACCATGAGATGCTATTTGATCTCATTTTACCCAGTTCTTTCAAAATTGGAGTTAGTCCTCTCAAATCCTGTCACTGCTTTATCAATTAAGTTGATAAATATTCTAAATCTTTTGTTGTCATTTCAACAATGTTCACAACATCTTCACCAGGAGTAGATTCCATCTCAAGGAACCATTTCTTTGCTCATCCCTATGAAGCAATTCCTCATCCATTCAAGTTGTTTTACGAGATAACAGCAATTCAATCCCATCTTCAGGCTCCGCTTCCAATGCTAGTTATCTTGCTATTGCCACCACATCTCTAGTTACTTCCTCTGTTGATGTCTTGAGTCCCTTAAAGTCATCTATGGGGGCTGGAATCAACTTTTTCCCAATTCCAGTTAATGTTGGTATTTTTGACATCCTCCCATGAATCATGAATGTTCTTAATGACATTTAGAATAGTAATGTTTTTTTCAGAAGATTTTCAATTAACTTTGCCCAGATCTGTCAGATGAATCATTATCTATGGCAATTATAGATTTACAAAATGTATTTCTTAAATAATAATAATTGTAAGTTGAAATTATTCCTTCATCTATGGGCTACAGAATGGATGCTGTGTTAGCATATATGAAAACAATGTTAATCACCTTGTATATGTCCCTCAGAACTCAAGAATTATCAGGTGTATCTATGCAGCCATAAAAAAGGATGAGTTCATGTCCTTTGCAGGGACATGGATGAAGCTGGAAACCATCAGTCTCAGCAAGCTGGCACAAGAACAAAACCAGAATTCAAGAAGTATGTCAAGCTGTAGTCAAGAAGTCAATTTCTATCTGGGTTCCTGGGCAATGCATTGACATGTCTGCTCAACTAATTGTCTATCTCCCAAAACATAGCACTACCCATAGCTCCTCCTAGACAAGCCAGAGAGAAAAAGGTGGTGGTGATGTAACATAATCAGTGGTAATGAAGAAGAACCTGGTTTGGCTAGTAGGACACCTGCCCATAGCTGCCGGCCACTTTGAGTGAACAAGGAAGCCTAACATATAAATGTATGTCATGATGACTAAAGCTAGTGGGTGGGCAATGATGAAGGCTATAAATGCAGACTTTGCAGGGATATTTCTGCTTGCATTTTCTAGACTTGGCCTGTTCTTCTCCAGCATAGATTAGGGAACAGCACAAATACCATGCGTTTATCACACGTGTATACCGAAAAGATAAGAGCTTACAGGCATTGCCATCTGGTGGTAAGATTTGGTAATTTATTTGGTAATATGTGACTGAATTTTCCCTGTGCAAAGTGATTTGTGGATAACAATGTAGAATTTATAGAAATGTATTGATGTGGGAATCTTCAAGATGGCGGGGTAGGAGCAGCTCGGGGTTGCAGCTCTCAGTGAAGGCTCAGAGGGTGAGTTCAAGCTGCATTTTCAGAGGGATCTTTGTTGCCCACAGAACGGAGGGATTCCCAGGTGGAGGAGAGACACGGATCGCCACTTCGGCTCTTTTGGCCGGCATCCTCTGGCCGAGGTAGCAGCGCAGCGGCACTCCGCACAAGGCTCACTGGTCTGGATGCCCTGTTAAACCAGCAATCTGAGATTTGGGAGGGCAGATTAGCATATCCATCTGATTGAACAGGACTTGGACAGTGATCCAGACCAGGAGATTCCCGGGAGGCAACATTTGAGCCTGCGCAGTGGGTCGCTGCACGGGAAATCGCACGTATCCCAGTCCCCAATCAGCGGGTGACTGAAATACCTGGGAGAGAGTCAACCTTTCAACATAGGAAAGAAAAAAAGAGGGGCTCTGAGGCGGCGAGCCAGGTGACCAGGCTCGGCAGGTCCCACACCACAGGGACAAGCAGGGCAGCGATTCCATACACCCGGGGTTGAGAGTTTCACTGTGGACGCAACTGAGCCCGGGACGGCACAGCTCGGTGGGGGAGGGGCATCCCCCATTGCCGAGGCAATCCGCCCCTTTGGAAGTATACTCCCATTGCTGTAGCAGCCTGACATTGCCGAGGCAACCCACCATAACAGAGAGACTCCACCAATACAGAGGCAACAGAGTGGAGCACACGGCAGCAGGGCGGAGCCCTCGGCAACAGGGCGAAGCCCAAGGAAACAGAGCAGAGCCCGCCACAGTAGGGCGGAGCCAATGCCAACAGGGAGGAGCCTCGGCAGGCAAATAGTGACAAGACTGCCCCCTAGCTGGGAAGAAAAGAGCAACGGATACTGATAAAGAAAGCCCTAACACCCCAAGACAGAGCATCTGAGGAAAAAAAAGGGTTTTATGAGTTCTGCTGCAGCAGACTTAAAAGTATCTGCCAAACAGTCCTCAATGAACAGAGCTCACAGCTCAGCACTCAAGCTCCTATAAAGTACAGACCATCTCCTCAAGCAGCTCCCTGACCCCCGTATATTCAAAGAGTCACCTCAAAAAGGACTGATCAGACTGACATTTGGTGGGCATCATTCTGGGACAAACATAGCAGAAGAAGAAACTGGTGGCATCCCTCACTGTTCCGCAGCTGCTACAGGTGTACCCCAAACAAGCAGGGCCTGGAGTGGACCTCAGCAGTCCTACAGCAGATGGGTTAGACTGTTAGAAGGAAAACTAAGCAACAGAAATACTTCACCATCAACAATCTGGGTGTCCACTCAGAGAACCAACCAAAAAGTCAGCAGCTACTCAGACCACAGGAGGATAAACCCACAAAGATGGGAAGAAACCAGCGCAAAAAGGAGGAAAACACCCGAAACCAAAACACCTCACCTCCTACAAAGGAACAAAACTCCTCACCAGCAAGGGAACAAAGCTGGACAGAGAATGAGGGTGATGAAATGACAGAATCAGACTTCAGAAGGTGGATAATGAGAAACTTCCATGAGCTAAAAGAACATGTTCTAAATCGATGCAAAGAAATTAAGAACCTTGAAAAAAGTTTCGAGGAAATGATAACAAGATTGGACAACTTAGAGAGGAGGATAAACGAATTGAAGGAGCTGAAAACCACAACACGAGAACTTCGCGAAGCATGCACAAGCTTCAACAGCCAAATTTACCAAGCAGAAGAAAGAACATCAGAAGTCGAAGATCAACTCAATGAAATAAAACAAGAAACCAAGATTAGAGAAAAAAGCACAAAAAGGATTGAACAAAGTCTCCAAGAAATGTGGAATTATGTGAAGAGATCTAACCTACGTTTGATAGGTGTACCAGAATGTGATGAAGAGAATGAATTCAAGCTGGAAAATACTCTTTAGGATATTATCCAGGAAAATTTCCCCAACCTAGCAATCCAGGCCAATACTCAAGTCCAGGAAATACAGAGAACACCACAAAGATATTCCGCAAGAAGAGCAACCCCAAGGCACATAATCATCAGATTCAACAGGGTTGAAATGAAGGAGAAACTACTAAGGGCAGCCAGAGAAAAGGGTTGGGTCACCCACAAAGGGGAGCCCATCAGACTCACAGCAGATCTCTCGGCAGAAACTCTACAAGCCAGGATAGAGTGGGGGCCAATATTCAACATCCTTAAAGAAAAGAACTTTCAACCCATCATTTTATATTCAGCCAAACTGAGCTTCATAAGTGAAGGGAAAATAAAATCCTTTGCAAACAAGCAAGTACTCAGAGATTTTGTCACCACCAGGCCTGCTTTACAAGAGCTCCTGAAAGAGGCACTACACATAGAAAGGAACACCCAGTACCAGCCATTCCAAAAACATACCAAATGCTAAAGAGCATCAAAAAAAAAAAAAAAAGAATAATCAGCACCAACTAACAGGCAAAACAGCCAGCTAGCATCAAAATGGCAGTATCAAAATAACACATAACAATATTAACCCTAAATGTAAATGGGCTAAATGCACCAATCAAAAGACACAGACTGGCAAATTGGATAAAAAGCCAAAACCCATCAGTGTGCTGTATCCAGGAAACCCATCTCACATGCAACGATACACAAAGGCTCAAAATAAAGGGATGGAGGAAGATTTACCAAGCAAATGAACAGCAAAAAAAAGCAGGAGTTGCAATTCTCGTCTCTGATAAAATAGACTTTAAAGCAACAAAAATCAAAAGAGACAAATAAGGTCATTACATAATGGTCCAAGGATCGATACAACAATAAGAGCTAACGATCCTAAATATATATGGACCCAATACAGGAGCACCCAGATATATAAGGCAAGTTCTTAATGATCTACAAAGAGACTTAGACTCCCATACAATAATAATGGGAGAC